AAAAAAAAAAAAAAAAAAAAAAAAAAAAAAAAAAAAAAAAAAAAAGGGATAAAAAAACGTAGTCTTGCGCGTAAGATTCGTAGGTACGAGTAAACTTGCTGTTATATGACGGCCGGGAGAAAGAAAATTGGCACAAGTCGCGTGCAGAGCGACGTAAACGCAGCTCATTAATTCGTTTTAACGACAATGTAACAATGATAATGACACATAATGGCGCAAAAGCAGAAAAATAGAATGTACTTTTCAACTTGAAAGATCGGAGCCAAGTCGAGCCGCGTGAAAGATTGAAAAAACAAAAAAGAAAAATACACGCCAGCAGAAGGTGGAGGGTGGAGGAGGAGGAGGGGAAGAGGGAGTGACGCATATATTGTATAATTATAGAAAGAAGAGACGAGGCTCTCTCGAAAAAAGGAGAAAAGAAGCGCTAGACACTTCCGCTCTCTCCTGCCGATTAAAAATAGCCCCCCTGCATATGTGTGTATATACACCGCCGGGATCCCCCGATGGAGCAACCTTGACGAGAACGCAAACTCTAAGAGGAGCTAGTCTCTTTCCCTACTCCTCATCTTGTGTATCGCGTCGACGACCCGAACACACGAATCTGTGTCTTTCGAGCATCACTTGGGATAACTCTCCTCTTTCTCCCTGTCAATATTTAACACTTGCAATAAAGAAAAAAAAAAAAAAAAAAACCACCTCAACTTTACGACCCTCATAAATATACTTACGGTTGCCGGCTGCATTGCGCCAATTTCTCAATTTCGAAAACACAGTGCCTAATAGTCACGCTGTAAATTGCTCTCGCTTCGCTCTTTCACAAAATACACGCAGCTCTCGAGTCATTTCCTCAATTTCGAGATGAATAGGTTTTTTCTTTTTTCTTTTTTGTAAACATATGATAAAATTATTAATACCCCCCACCCCCCCGAGGAAAGTTTATTTGGAAATCGCACGGTTAATTTATCGTTACTTTCTAAATCGGTGTGCACTTATATTGGCGGAGAGGCCGCGGACACGTATGTATACAATGATGAACGAGCTCGGGAAAAGATAACAAATAAAATTTGGTAGCGCAACATGTATACGCACACATGACGCGGGTACAATGGAAGGGTTGGGCGCATTGAATCGAAAACGATCGGATGACGATCGCGAGGAAGAAGAAAGAGCGTAGAGATTTTTCTTTTTTTTTTTTTTTTTTTTTTTTTTTTTTTTTTTTTTTTTTTTTTTTTTTTTTTTTT